GCAGCCCGCCGCTGTTGCTGTCGGAGGCGAGAGGCTCCCCGTGGTGGTCTACTTCCATGGCGGGGGGTTCGTGATCAGGTCGGCCACATCGCCTGCGTACCACCGCTGCCTCAACGACCTCGCCATCGCCTACCCCGCCGTTGTCGTCTCCGTCAACTACCGTGTAGCGCCTAGCGGGAAAATTATTTCATAAAAACCCTAATTGCGAAATTGTTTCTTGCTTGTTGTCTAGTGTTCGTGCCATCTCAAGATCTTAAATCCCCGATCTATCGTCAAGTTCAATCCCGAATCCAAATCCTTCCAAATCAAATTCCTCCGCAAAAGTCTATTTTGCCTCCCCCAGGGTCGATGGGCCGAATTTCTCTCGGCCCATCTCCCCCTCCCTCCCGGCGCTCTCTCTCTCTCTCTCTCTCCCTCTCCCCCTCCCCCTCTGCTCCGCCCGCGCGCCGCGCGCGCGTGCGCGTGAGCCGCCGAGCCGAGCCCTCCTCTTCGCTCCCTCGCTGCCGCTCCCCGCGCATCGTTCGCGCGCGCGCCCGCGTGGTCGTCGCCCGCGTCGCGTCTGCGCCGCCCGGCCCCGCTGCTCTGCCGCGCCTGCAGCCGCTCGGCCCCGCAGCCAGCGCGCGTGCCCGAGCCGCGCCGCTCAATCCGCCGCGCCTCCCGTTGCAAGCCGCGCGCGCGTGCCGAGTGGCCGACCGCCTGGTTGCCGTCGTCGTCAGCGCCTGCCCGCGCCTGTCGCCCGTGTCGCCGCTCCGCTCCAAACCGCCCCGCCGTCATCGCCGTCGTCATCGCCTCGGCCCCGCCTCTCCGCGCGCAAGCCGCCAAGGGACGGAGGCAGAGCCCTCCTCCCTCTGCCGCGACGCCCCCGCTCCCCTCCTCCTTTTCCCAAAGAAGCAAGGGGCGAGCCCCCTTTCTCTCCCTCTTTTTCCCCTTTTTCCTCCCGCTGGCGTCATCCTCCTCCCTCCGCCCTGTCGCCAATTTGGACGCGAGCGCCGAGCGCCAGCTCGCGCCTTGACCGCCCAAAGTCGGTTTCCAAACCGACATTGCCGCCCTTAAAACCCAAGCTTCCCCCTTTCCCTTCCTCTCCCATTCGCCTCCACGCCATTGCCGCCGCCTCCCGTGCTCTGTTCGCCGTCGCCGTTCGTCGTTGCGCGTGTCGGAGGAGCCGGCACGAGCAAGGACGCGGAAGGGGACTCCGGGCGCGCCCTCTTCTTCCTCTTCCTCGGCCCGAGGCCGGAGAGATTACTCCCGCGCCGTCGGCCTCTCGTCACTGCGCCCCGTCCGCACGGTAATGCCTCCCTCCGTTCTTCCTCCTCGCTCCATCTCCCCCCCTTAGTTTTCGGTGGTAGCACGAGTAGCCTCCCCGTAGCTAGCCGGCGCCGCCCCGACCGTTGTCGCCGCTCGCCATGTGCTCGCCGCCGTCACCGCCCGAGCTCCGTAGCACCCGCTCGTCGCCAGCCTCGCTCGGCGTAGCTCTGCCCAATCCGACGCTAGCATCGGATTCCCGTAGCCGCGTAGATGCTCTCGCCGTCGGGAATTGGCCCCTCGTGACCTCGTCGTCGTTTCCCCCTTCTCCCGCCGCCGGTTGCCGCCGCCGCGATTCGCCGCTGTCAAGCTCCCTCCGGCGAATCCGAGCCGTTGGCTCGTCTCCCCTCGTCTCGTGCAACCACCCGGTGTGCTCGCTTTTGCCTGTATCGCCGTGGTTCGCTCCGCCGCTCGCCGCTATTGTCCGCCGTCCGTTCCGGCCGGCGTCGTCGTCTACCTCCCGCCGGCCCGCGTGGCAGCCACGTAGGCGCCACGTCGGCGCCACCTCGGCCAAGACCGGGTCAAGCCGACCCCGGTCAGTCCCTCCCCGTGCGCGCGTTGCACCGCGAGCCGTGAGGCTGCGCGTGGGCCCGCCGCATCTGCATCCACCGCGAACCGTGTGCGTGCACCGCGTCCCTCCCCCGCCCGCGCGCGTGCGCCGCGTGCTCGCTCCGCACGGTGAACCGTGTCACCGACAAGCGGGTCCCACCCGGGACCACGCGTGGTGAGCCCGGTCCACCGGCTCTCTCTCTCCTCCCTCCCGCGCGCGCGCTTGGGCCGCCTTGGGCCGGCCGGCCCATTTAGCTCGGCCGGACCGCTCCATTTCTCTCGGGCCGCGCCCTAGCCGCCCGAGGAAAAGTCTAGTTTCCCTCCCTCTTTTCTTTTCTTTTCTTTTCTTATTCAAAAAGGATTTAATTAAATCTTTTTTCCTTTAGACCCAAAAATCCAATAATCTTAGAAATTCAATATCTTCCCAACCGTAAATCCGTTTGACTCCGTTCAACTTCCAAAATTCCTCAAATCTCGAGATCTATCTAATGGCACGCTTAGAGGTCATTAATAGGGCTTTATTTTCGCCGTTTGTTGAGTTTTCCCGTTTCGCGTGTAGTTTCGGAGCCCGAAGACCCGCAGTGCGAGGATTTCGAGGATCAAGCTCCAGATCTCGAGCAAGGCAAGCCACCTTTGAACATCTTGAGCCTATATTTGAAATTAATTATGTTGCTTGAAAAATATTATGCATTGATAGGATCGCACTTAATCTGTTGTCCCGCCTGCAAGGCAGATTGGCGGACCTACCTAATTGGTTGCATTTGATCCTTCCTTTGATAATTGTTATATCGTGTCCCCTGGTAACCATCTAGTTGCGTCTCGATATTCGTGCACCCTGTGCGAGTATCGACGGACGCCTTCAAACTTAAAATCTAATAAAAAACTTCTTGGATAAAACTTGGGTTTTACGAAAGACTTGGAAAACCCGACACCTGGGTCGGTGCTTGCGAACTAAATGAATTTCCAAAACCGCGGACCGGGGAACGTACCGGGTGTACGGTTTCCCGCTCTTGCACTTAAGGACCGTTTCCTTGGAATTTCATTCAAACATAAGACAAGTACGACCACATGGGTGGAATGGGACACCCCTGGCTGAGTAACTAGCTTATCAGGGGAGCCTTGATGCCGAGAGACATGTGGATTCGCCGGGGTGGTGTCGGGGAGGACCCCTGGGCTTCCTGGCACAGTATGGTCTGGGACCTAACCTGTTGTTGGTCTGGGACCCCTCTCGTCGGCATATGGTAAACCTGTGTCGGCTTTGGAAATGCCTTGTCATGAAAGCTTGGAGGTCTCCCGACGTGGCTGATCCCCACGGGCTGGGTGATCCGGGTTAGTAATGTCGTGTGGGTAAAGTGTACCCCCTCTGCAGAGGTTAACAAACTGTTCGAACAGCCGTGCCCACGGTCATGGGCGGATGTGAGGTGATTCCTAGCGTAGTTTTGTTTGACTACTGCTTGTGAAATTGCTGTTGTGGAAAGGGGTTCGATGATTGAAAAATCTGTAACTGATGGAATCAGGTAGGCCCGGGTGGCCGTTTGAAAGTTGTTGGCCCGGGTGGCCGTTTGAAAAGCTGTTGGCCGGGTGCCAACCTTGATTCAAATCTAAAGACTGATACATTGCACATACTCCGACCGGACGAGACGCACTGTCTCATCCGTGTCGTTTGAGAAGCACTCACTTAGTTGTTTCAGAAAAGAGTTCAAATAAAATCAATTGCAAAAACACCAGCCTCTCCTTGAAGCCTGCATTAAACACTTATTTCCCCTGGCTTGCTAAGTACTCCCGTACTCACCCTTGCTCTGTATAAATAATCCCCCCCAGTTGCTGAAGAAGATGAAGCGGATCCTGCTGATGAGGAGTTCTTCCAGGAGCAAGCCGGCTACGATGAGTTTTAGGGTTTCGGCCTAGTTCCCAAGTCGCGCCTGTGTTGTTTGGTCCAAGTCCTGGCTTCCGTTTCCCTTTTGTAATGCAGTTGTGAGCTCGAGATCTGTCCGCAGCCCAACATGACTGTACCTCTACTCTATAATAAAGAGACCTCTGTTGCTGTGATAATCTGTCTTCCTGTGATACCAGCACTGTTTCCTGGGACTGGTATCGAATTACAGGTTAATTTGGAGCGTCACGGGCTAGTTCCGGTCGGTACTAGTTCGGGGCGTGACATACCGCCTCGCCCCGGAGCACCCGCTCCCGGCCGCGTATGAGGACTCCGCCACGACACTCGCCTGGGTGCTCTCCACCGCCGACCCATGGCTCGCCGCGCACGGTGACCTCTCCCACGTCTTCCTCGCGGAAGACAGCGCCGGCGGCAACATCTGCCATCACCTCGCCATGCACCATGGCCTGACCAGCCAACACCTCCCGCACCGCCTAAAGGGCATCGTGCTGATCCACCCATGGTTCTGGGGCAAGGAGCCCATCGGCAGCGAGGCGGCGGCGGGGGAGCAGAAGGGGCTGTGGGAGTTCGTGTGCCCTGACGCGGCGGACGGCGCGGACGACCCCCGGATGAACCTGACCGCGGCGGGGGCGCTGAGGCTGGAGAACCTGGCGTGCGAGAAGGTGATGTGATGTGCGTGGCTGACGGGGATACTCTGCAGCTGCGCGTACGCGTAGGCGGTGACATTAGCTTCGCGCTGTTCACGGCGAGCGAGCGAGCGGCGGCCAACGAAGGCGGCAGGCGAGCGCGCAGCCACCGGCGAAGCGGAGGCATGGAGCGGCGGTGGTGGCAGGTGGGCGAGCACACGGCCGGGTGAGTAGCAAGGAACGAGAAGTAAAAAAAAAGAAGAGAAAAAAAGAAAGGGGAAAGAGAGAGGGTGACGTGGACACCTGACATGTGGGGCTCACGTGGGTCCCACGCTGACTCAGCCGCCACGTAGACTAAAACCGGGGTCAAAACCACCAAAGGACCTCGGGTGACCGATTTTGTATAGTCAAGGGACCCCGCTTATCTGGTTTTTGCGATTCGAGGACGTTTTTTTATCCTGGTGACAAGTTGAGGTACCTTCGAGTGTACTTTTTCCTTTGGTTGGGCCGAAAGAAGCTATTCCAGTCAACGTGAGGCCCAATATAATATGGGCCTGAACGAGATTCCGGCCTTCGCGCGGCCCATATATGTTAGATTGGTTTGTGGACATCGGTGACTACGGCCTTGGTAGCTGACATGTGGTCCCAGCCGGCTATCCACCACCGATTTGCCTCAGCCTCTGTCCGTCTCGCGCGCCGGCTGCCGCTGCACTTGCCCATGGCCATGGCGCCGCCGTCTCCTCCCTGCCTCCTCCGCGCCCTCCTCCCTGTCGCCTCCTCCTCTTCTCGGGGGCTCCGCCGCCGGCCTACTACCTCCTTGCTCCGCTGCTCCTCGCCGTCGGTAATGATACGCCCTTTCGTTGTTAAGCAAGATGCGAATAGCTGCTGCTGCTGCTGCTAGTGTTTCTTGATTGATTTGTTTCACTTTGTGCAGGCGGATGCGGCGTCGCCGTCGGGGGAGGGTGGCCGCGAGTACGAGCCCTCCTTCGCCGACGACTTCCTCCTCGCCTTCTTCCGTGCCAAGATGGTGGAGGTGACAAGCTCCATCACCCCAAACTCTTCTTCAGTTCTTCTTCGTCTTCCCCTTTTTGAGCTTAACAATGGTTGCCCCTTCCTAGTGCTTGCTTTTTAGTAGCATGGGTGATTACTAGCAGAAATATCAAGGGAGTTGCGATAGGATTATCCTCCCGAAAAGGAAGATGCTTACTACTACTAGCAAATAATCTGACAATGTCATATTGATGGTTGATGAATGTTCAGAGTCGAACAAAAATGATTGATAAGTGGTGTTGATCAGTTCGTGGATAAATTATCTATTCCTAACTCCCATAATCGGCATCGCTGAATTGCTTATTACTATGATTTTGTATAGCGTTTATCTGCAACTGCAATTGTATGCCTAATTGCCTATTAGTGAACGTGTGCCATACTGCTCTGTGCGTGTGTACGTCCTATGCTTATGGCGTGTTCTGTTCCCTGTGTATAGCTGACCCAGTTAGAGTTTATCACATATATATGTGTTTACATTTGTAACGTATCATGATCGGTAGGAGTATGCATTGGATCAATTCTCCTTCTAGCTCTCTACCGTTATACAATACCGAGAATGGATCCATATTTTTCACTTTTGCTCTCCTTATTTGTACATTTGGTAATTCTCTCATTCTCTGTAAAGCTGTAGGAGGTTGGATGGGATTCTGAAAAGCCTGGCTACAATGGACTGATTGAAGTTGCCAACCGCCTCATGATCAAGGGGAAGAGTGCGTTGGAGACAGAGCAATCAGCTGTATATATAAATTTCTCATGCACAATCTCATTGCTTGGAAAAAACCGTATCCTTTAGAAGATAAAATCAAACTCTCTTCTCTGTAAATTTCAGGTCCGAGTACTCCGATCACTGTTTCCCCCTCTCTTGCTTGTTCTCTTCAAAGCTCTTTTAGCACCAATTGCTAATGGTCAATTGGCTTCCATGATGGTTGGTGAGTTCACTCAAGTGACATTTTTTGCCACCTCTGTTGGTACTTATTAGACATACAATAGGAATCGATGGTTGGTGAGTTCATTGCAGTAGTTGCTTTTGATGTAGTGTGATTGGCCTTACTGATTTTTTTAATACATTTGAGATGTGAAGCTAGAGCAACAGCACTTTCATGCCAATGGCTGATGGGGCCATGTTTGTTAAATTCCATAACATTATCCAATGGAAAATCATTATCAAGCGGGGTACCAATATATTCCTACTGTTTTTTTTGTTTATCCTTCACTCAGTGAGATTTTACAGTTCACGGACATTGCGTGATGGAAACTGTCAGGTATTTGTTGAGAAGTGCAAATATTTGGAAGAGAGCAAATGCCTTGGTGTTTGTATCAACACATGCAAACTGCCAACTCAGGTTTGATTGTAAGATCGTTTAGCATAATTCAGATGTGTGGGATACCTACTTTTATGTACACTATCACTGTTGATGTCACATTAATTTGGAGTATAGATCTTGAAAACCTTTTTGTTCTGAATTTTTCTGTCATTACTTGTATGAACGCCATTTTCTGTTTTCCAGACATTCTTCAAGGATCACATGGGTGTTGATTTGTATATGGAACCAAACTTTGAAGACTATAGCTGCCAGGTAATTCATTTCATGATTAATCTTACTATGCTGAAACAAAAACTTTCCAACAAACTAGATATGTACATGCTAAGTTTTGTTCTTTGCAAAACCGAATGTCATGATGAAGCACAATGGAATACTCAGGCGCATGTTGTCTTTCATTTCAGTTCAACTTTGGGGTGTCACCTCCACCTCTTGACACCGACAAAGCCCTAAAGGAGCCCTGCTTGGACATATGCACGAACGCGAGAAGACGGAAAGAGCTCGGAACTGGTAGTAGCACAGATGGTTTGCAATGCCCCCAAGTTTGATGAGACGCTTTTGAAAGTTTGGACAGCATAACTGAAGATGGGAATGAGATCCTCTGCAGTACTGCGACTGACATGTGGGCCACACTTACCAAGAGCCCAGATGTCAGTGACTTCTACTGCAGGAGAATACTGCAGAGTCTCTGAAGATGCCTGGGCATACAGCCATTGTGCCCCTTTTTCAGTTACTGCCACTAGACTTAACTGCTATAGTCTGATATCAATACTAACACTGTTGTCTCAAACAACAACTTATATTTTTGGGATGTAACACAATTCTACTTGGAAATCAATTTGGAGAGATGCTCATGTGAATGATTTGTCTGCATTGCTAGGTTGTGTCAGTTTCTCTTTGTATGAATTTTGATTGGAAATTACTAAAGATTAGCAAGCCTGGAGACAAAAAGAATCTCATCGTCTGCAGACACTGCAAGCAAAGAATGGAATTACCAGCCTATCAGCATTCATGACTTGGATAAATTAGCGTCATCTTTGTCCCCAATGCAAGCTACTTCCAGAATCCAGATGATAAAATATACTCAAAATCAAATTCTTGCGTGTCCATGTCACTACCCTTTTGTAACTGTAAGTCGTGTTAATTAAGCCTCCTAATCCATCACTGACACTTAGGCCCTATTTGATTCAGCTTAGGATTATTATAATCTGGATTATCATGAGTAAGCCGAAATAAACAAGTAGATTATTATGATAGATTATTATAATCTATAAGCCAGATTAGTATAATCTAATAATCTCCTTTGAAGGAGCTTTTTCTAGATTATTGAGTGGCTAAAGACCCACTACCCTTAGATGCCTCCAATAATCCAGAGAAACAAACAACTCGCAACTTATTCTATATCAGCTTATTATAATCCAGCTTAGAGTAATCTGATTTAATAATCTGGATTACAATAATCTTAAGCTGAAACAAACAAGACCTTAATAACGTTCATGAACTGCACACTGTACACTAGTGTCTACCTGGCTTGTATTTATAAGCTGATACGTAATGCTATCTGGTATTGGTGCTCACTGATCAGATATGGAGGAGTTCGACGGCGCCATAGCTCGCCGGCGAGCCATGGCGCGCCGCGGCAGCGGCGGCGGCAACGGTGACGGCGACGGCATCACGGTGCACGTGGAGCAGATGGCGCGCGGGCTGATGCAGAGGCAGGAGGCGGCGGCGTCGGACGAGCAGCACCGGATCATGGCGAGCAGCCACCGGGTGTCCCGCGTCCCGGCGCACCTCCGCGACGCCAACGCCGACGCCTACACGCCGCGGTTCGTCGCCGTCGGCCCGCTCCACCGCGGCGACGCGCGGCGGCTCGGCGCCGGCGAGCGCCTCAAGATGGCGTACCTCCACAGCCTCATCTCCCGCGGCCACTCCGACCAGGCGCGGCAGCTCGCCGTCATCGAGGAGTACATCCGCGCCGTCGCGGCGAGGGAGAGGGAGGCGCGCGCGTTCTACAGCGAGGACGTCGACATGTACGCCGAGGAGTTCATCATGATGCTGGTGCTCGACGGCTGCTTCATCATCGAGCACCTCGTCAACGTCGCCATCGGGAGGGATGAGCCGTCGCTGCACGCCACGCCGTTCGCCCCCGTGCAGCTCTCCGTCGACCTCATCCTCGCCGAGAACCAGATCCCGTTCTTCGTCCTCGTCGACCTGGTCAGGATCACCGACCTGCCGGAGTTCGCGAGCACCGGCCACCCGCCGCCGGTGCTGATCGTGAAGCTGGTTCTCTACTACCTCGCCGGCGAGAAGGGCCGCGACATGGTGGGCGACGCGCTGCCGCCCGCGGAGGGCGTGTCCCACATCCTCCACCTGCTCCACGCGATGATCGTCGCGGCGCGGACCAAGTGGGAGCCGCCGCCGCGCATCCAGGACGGCGCGGTGCTCGGGACGGCGCAGGACGGAGCGCGGCTGCTGCGGCGGCTCCCGCTGCTGCTGCTGGTGCCGCTGCTGTACCCCATCCTGCCGGAGGAGAGCAAGTGGCGGGCGAGCTACGGGCGGGAGGACGTGCCGTCGGCGAGCGACCTGAAGCGGATGTGGGTGCGGTTCAAGAAGCCGCGCGGCGGCGGCGCGGCGGCGGTGACAGGCATCGCGTCGGTGATGGGGCCGGTGCCGCTGGCGGTGAAGCTGGCGCACGAGGACAAGCTGCGGCTGCCGCAGCTGCGGGTGGAGCTCCGGACGGCGCCGCTGCTGCTGAACCTGATGGCGTTCGAGCAGTCGGCGGCGAAGGCGGAGGCGCGCGACGTGTCGGCGTACGTGTCGTTCATGGCGAAGATGGTGCAGTCGGCGGAGGACGCCGGGGCGCTGGCGGCGGCGGAGGTGGTGGCGGTGGTGCACGGGAACGGCGGCGGCGAGGGCAAGGAGGAGGTGGTGAGGCTGTTCCGGCAGGTCGGGGCGGCGAGCGGCGAGGTGGAGCTGGAGCGGAGCTACCTGGGAGGGATGGTGGTGGAGCTCCGGGAGAGGAGCCGGCACCCGCTGTTCATGATGTGGGCGGACGTGAAGCGCAACTACTTCACGGTGCCATGGGCGGTGGTCGCCGAGTTCGTCGCCTTCGTCACCTTCGTCTCCACCATTGTCCAGATGTACTCCTCCTTCAAGCAGAAAGGAGGATGATCTCGTCCAGACCGACCGCCATGGAATTAATCCATCGATACTCCCACCGTCCCATAAAAAACCGAATCTAGGACCAGATATGATATATTCTAGTACGATAAATCTAGATATATGTATGTACTGATTTGTAGTACTAGGATGTATCACATCTAGTTTTTTATGGGACGGATAGAGTACGCAGCGAGCTACTCCGATCTTTTTAGCTTATTTCTTTCTTGCCTTTTTTTTTCCCAATTTAATGACAGAATTTGTTATATGTTCTTGACTTAATATCCCCTTGGATTTAATTCATTGTTTTATGAATCTGTACATGTTGAGTTTTGCTCCATTTTGTCCAAACTGGTTTCATGCAACACGTACGTACGCAATGCTCTTCTTCAATCCATGCTGCTTTTCACAATCAAACATTGTGCACGCCTTATTGTGCCAAACATTTCGTGGTAATTAATGCCACATGTAACGATCCATTAAATAGTAAATATTGTATTTCTTTATAACATACTCTCTCTCCGTCCTAAAATATAAGGGATTTGGGTTAGATATGACACACCATATTACTACGAATATGGATATAACATACTCCATCTGCAGTGGCGAAGCTATAGAGTTCTTTGGGGGGGGGGGGAGGGGGTGCACATGAACCCCCAAATTTCTAATTTCTCACTCAAAAACACTAGAATGTACAGTGTTGGAGTGAAATTTTCTAAATGTTCAATGGTAGTGCACCCCCTTGTTTTGATGCTAGTTTTGTTCCTGTCCATTTGTTCAAATTCGTAGTAATATGATGTGTCACATCCAACCCAAATTCTTTATATTATGAGACGGAGGGGGTATGAAACATGCAAGGGCATATGATATTCTCCCAGTCTCAAAATAAATTCAACCCTTAGTTCAAAGAATGGAGGCAGTAATATCAATGTCGATGTCGGGTAGGAGAGACATGCTAAACAGAGTTCAGAGATCGAATAATCTCTGGCACATCACATAAGATCGGACTTACAAAACTAAGGACCATTCTTTTGCAAGATAAAGGTAACTAAAGTAAATAAACTATTCTCCAAATAAAACCATATCAACCAAGAATGGCTTATCTTTTTCTCTTACTAATCTTGCTATAGAATCGAGTCATGGATACACGCGTTATCATCGCTCGCAGGCTTAACTACACATGCATATGGACCTAGTTTTTATTTGAGCTAATTTAAGGTCCAATAGAAAGTTCATACAATATTTCCTTTTCTTTTAAACTAATTTTTTAAATCCGTTTAAAATTTAACTATAGAAAGTTTTTGAATATGTATAGACTTTCTATGTAGAAAGTATCTAAGAAGAAAGTTTCCATACACAAAGTCTAAGCCCAAATAAACATGTAGATGGGCCAAGGAAAGGAATGTTTGTGTGATTGTGTTCTTGAAAAAAAATGTGTGCCAGAAAAGTTGTTTTCGCAAATGCAGTAATTTGTGTGACACCAAAGTTAGTGATTATAAATTTGACAGATCTCCGAATAAAAAAAAACATGACAAACTTTAACAAGGAAGTGTGTGAGTATGACACGTGGGAATATGAACTTTAAAAATGTGACAAGCCTGCATCAATAATGGAAACACTTATCTAGCATGATCAAACTACTATGCCACAAATTGTAGTTGATTTTCTTTTTTTTTCCTGTTACTGAAAAATAAAAAGTCCAAAATGAGCTTGGAAATGATTGTGTGCGATGGGCTAAAAAATGGGCCAAAACGCTAGAAAGGGCATAGATTGAAGGAATAAGTTCTCTTGGCATCCCTCATTTTTACACCGAGTTTAATTATCATCCATAAACCGTAATACCAGACATTTTTCACCCTCCATCTTGACAAAACCATTTAAGTCAAGTCCCGTGACAGTATGTATAGGTGGTTTCGCTGACGTGACACCCTAATCAACAAAAATAAAATAAAATAATGTCAAAAATAAAATAAATAATGTAAGACCCACGTGTAAATGACCTTCTACTTTCCACCTCTTCTTCTCTTCTCTCCTCGTCTCCATGCCGGCGAGTACCACCTGCTGGTAGTGAGCTCCGGCGCTATGGCCCAAGCCTCTGAGCCCGCTGACGCAGCCGACGATGACGTCTAGGTTGGCCGGTGATGTACTTGGTGGTGGGTGGCGGTGTGGAGGATGATGCCGCGGCGCTGAGGGTGAGAGACTTGTGTGGTTGATGGGCGACGCCAGCGTGCTGTCAATGCACACCAGCGCGCCTCTCCGGTGACACAGCTCGGCGACGCGCGGGGCACGTCGATGACCTTTAGGCTGATCATGGTGAGGCTTCGTCGTCGAGTCGGCGCAGAACACATCGTCACTTCGCCCTGATCAAGAACGGATTTCGATCAGCTCTTGATCCATGTCATCGTCCAGTTCGACATTGATAACGTGTGTGACACACTGCAATCTTTAGCGGGACTACAGATATTTTTTTCCTTTTTTTCAATGTTTTTGCTGCTTGCATATTGATTTCCCCAAACATCCCAAACCAAATTGAAATCCCCAAATCCCCACATCACATTGAAAGAAAATCTAATCTGAGTTAACGTCGATCGGTGTGACGCTACTGCTACATGTTAATTTTGTTGTGCATAAATCGCACGGGAGAAGTACAGGCATATATATGTGTGTTGCATGGATAACCCGGATCCTATTTACTCCCTCCATCCCAAAATGTTTGACGCCGCTGACTTTTTAAAACATGTTTGATTGTTCGTCTTATTCAAAAAAATTAAGTAATTATTAATTCTTTTCCTATCATTTGATTTATTGTTAAATATACTTCAATGTATACATATAGTTTTACATATTTCACAAAAGTTTTTGAATAAGACGAATGGTCAAACATGTTTAAAAAAGTCAACGGCGCCAAACATTTAAGAAAGGAGGGAGTTCATGGGATGATTAGCTTATCTAAACTACCGGGTATCTCAACTAACACACATAGATAAGTACACCAATATGTTATGATCTAACACTCCCCCTCAATCTAAACTTCGATGTCAGCCGATTCTCTTTTATAAAACCGGCACCTATAATATAAATATGGGTATCGGTTCTTCCAAAAAAAAATCCAACACTAGTACAATAGGTGTCTGTCGGTGACATGGGACCGGGGGTATCTTGACTAGAGGTTTGGGGCAGCCGCGGTCACCCACGTGGCCTGACCCCCTCGGGGGGGTCGGGCCCGAGGGTGATGTGGCCGCCCCTCCCTCTGTCTCCCCAAGGGGTCGGGCCGCTCCCGTTTCGGCCCCGAGGGCTGGGGCGCCCCGACCCCCTGTGGGTTTAGCGCCACGTGTGTGGGTTAGGTGAGCACAGCGGCGCTCACCTAACCGCGTTTATTGCGGGTTGGACGAGCGCCCCACGGCGCATTTAATGCAGCGCAGCACACTCGTTTGGTCCGTGACAGGTCACAGTGTGTGACCGGTCACAGACCGGTCAGATCGCGGGTTAGGTGGCAACAGGCAGCCTTTCGCACGCCTCGCCCCGTCCCGTCGGAATGATGAGAGCCTCTAGGCACTCGTCCCTAACCGGAGCCGGCGTGCTAACTCCTGGAGTTAGCACGTCAGTCCCGGCTAGATTCATACCAGGCTTCATCGCAACCATTACAAGGAAGTAATTTTAGGAAGAAGGGCTGACGTGTGGCATGCTAAACTGACGCGTGGTAGACAAGAATGACCGGTTTGTGACTGGTCTGACGCCGGTCACGTCATCGGCAGACAACCGTGCTCCCACGTTGCGCCTGCTTCCGGCGGAGTGGAGGTAGGTATGGCCCATCCCATCGGAGGGTCATTCGGACAGCAGCCATGGCAAATCTCCGCCCATTAATGAGGGAGTAACAGGGAGATCCTCGGTGCCAGGCGAGTGATAACGCTGGGCCTCACTCAAAGACAAGCTGTGATTTAGCTTCTAGGCGAAGGCGCAAGCCAGTCTTTTTTTTGGAAGATAGGGTGAGTCCCCACCCAAAAGAAGAGTAGGTAGAAGTGGTGCATGTGGTATCCCCTTGAGATATAAAAGGAGGACCTTGCCCACTTAAGAGAAAAAAGGGAAAAAAAGGGGAGAACACCTGAGCTCGTAGAGGAGAGAAAGAGGAAGAGGGTCTCTAGAGTTTGAACTCTATTGCTCTCCAGCTCTTTGTAACTCCTTCATACACAGATCCACCAGAACACAGGAGTAGGGTATTACGCTTCTCAGCGGCCCGAACCTGTCTACATCGTCCGTGTCTTACGCATTTGCTCTCTCGCGAAACATTCCACAGATCGAGGGCTTAGAACCTCACCTAGCGCCCCCGGCCGAACCGGCAAAGGGGGGCCCGCGCGGTCTCCCGGTGAGGAGCCCCACGCTCCGTCATCTGGCGCGCCAGGTAGGGGGCGCGTGTGTTTTTCTAAGCCCTCGTCCTCTTTCGTGTGCGCCAAGCTTCTCCCGCTCAGCCCAATGGCCGAACGGGCAGTGGCGCACAACCTCTCTCCGAGCGCTAGCGGTGACGACGGGGAGCAGAACCCGTGCCGACGAGCTCGTACTCCACCGCCCCCCTCTCGCCGAAGTCTTAGGCGGGAGGAGGCGCTCGAGGGGGTCGAAAGATCCGCGACTTCGCCGCCCACGAGCGATGGAGAACGACGGCGAGACGGGGAGCGTTGCCTCCTCGTCTACGGCGATGGCAGCACGCCCCAGGGCGTGCTCCAAGCTGCGGGCGCGCTCCTGCGTCACCCGCCCGTCGTCCCCGATCCAGAGACTCCAGCCCGACGTTGGCTGGATGACGTGGCCGACTTGGTCATGACGGCGCAGCAGCGCCTAGGCGCCGGTGGGCGGTCCTCCGCCACCAAGGCCTCTGGCGCTGCTACCGCCGGCTCCGTGTCGTCAAGGCGGAGGGCGCGGCGAGCGGCGGCCGTTACCCGCCGTTCGTCTGCCATTCCCTCGTCAACGCCTCCGACCCAAGAAGATGTGCGTAGGGGGCCGGATGCCCGCCTCAGTGTCAAGCGCCGGCGCAATGGTCGTCGTGCTGCCCACGCAACGGAAGGCGCTTCCTCGTCCGGAGCGCCACTTCGGTTCGGGCGCGGGGGCCAGCCCCCCGTGCCCCCGGTTGGTGGTGTCGGCTGTCGAGCCTTTGTGGCGAGCCTTCGGAACGTCCGTTGGCCCCCAAGGTTCCGGCCCACCATCACCGAAAAATATGACGGAAGCGTCAACCCCGCCGAGTTTCTCCAGGTCTACACGACCGGGATCGAGGCCGCCGGGGGTGACGACAGGGTCATGGTGAATTTCTTCCCCATGGCCCTGAAGGG